GGGAGGTGTTTCTATCCGTGTATAAATTTAGGGAAACAGTTCACATTTTTAAATGATTTATTACGAAAAATGTTTTGTGATGTTAACTTTATGTATCCTGGGAAAATATAACTGTTAGTTCCAGAGCATGTCTAATTTCCAAACATGTTTACAGTCACGGCGCATCAAAGCAAGTATGTGTGTGTGATTCACATTTACATCTCAACGGTGGCTTTTTGTGATAGGTCATCTGTTACAAAAAAAAACTTTACGAACAAGTCATAAACTAATACCTAAAGGTTTACCTAATTGAACACTGTGAAAATATATAAAGCCTTTATAGTACGTCTCGTCTGATAAAGGAATTATGCATTATCTATGAGTTTTACCCTACGGTGTTGTTAATAATGTTTGTATAAGTAGTTCCTGTTACATGTATGTAGTCGTGTTTTTCTCTTCTTCTGTCTGACATGGCTGTAAATTTTGTCAAATTGGATCGTCAAGCAATGGTACATTTTATAAATGTAGTTTTGTCAAAACAAAGCCTTACCCCTTTGTTGTAAATGGTGGAAATGTTAATGTATTTTTTGAAAATAATAAATATATAAACGTCCTAACCTGCTTCTTAGATTTTCTATGTCTAATTATGATGTGGAAACACGTCAGTTAAGATATGCTTGACGATATCTAACATAATGAATTATATTTGATGCAAGCTATGTGACGTGATGTCACGTATTGTTTAAAGTGTGTATATGAGAAAGTGCTATAATTGCATGAGCGATATATCCTGTAAAAATATATAATACATTAATAAGTGACACGTGTTATTGGCTGGGCGGCGCAGTAGTAGCAGTATGTTCAGCATTCAGCAGAAATACATTTTGTCCGATTGTGCGAAATAAAATCGGCAGAAATTTTGTAAAAATGGCCGCCCGTCTATGAGGTGACCGTAGCGTTGTAATTGTGGTAGCAGAAAATAACACTCCCGAGGTCAGTATGGTTGCGACCATTTACCACGAATACGCAGGTACTTAATGTATTGCCTGGTTTTGTTCTACTAACTTGCTACTGCTGCGCCACCACCAACCAATTACGAGCAAGCAGACTGAAAAGTAGTTCCAGACCTTATTTGAATACATGTTCATGTGTCATTACTACAGTGTTCAACTAGCCAATCGGATTACATCTCCCATAATGCATTGGGCTTTGTAGGTGGCAGCAGCGTCCAGTGACTTCACAGTGTGATACAATGGCTATCTCACATTGCAGAAAGTCAGTCACCGTGCTAATGCCCTCCCTTCTCCAATGCCACCGCAGGTTATTATTTGACTGAATGAATTGAATCTTAGTGGGATCTGTGATATAATAAAATTGTTACTTGTTTAATCGCTACTTTCGGGGACAAAACCATGTTGTTATAGAATTTTCGCCAATGATATCGGCTTTGCTGAAGTTGTATTGCTGAATTTGTATTTGGTTTACAATCATGGCGATATCTGTACGCGTTAAATAAAGATGTGATTTCGTTTGTCTTGTAGTCACTGCACTGATGAAGATGATTGGTCTGAGACCACGGTGAAGCGCACAGTCAAAGATCTCCTTAAGGAGTACAATCAACCTGTACTAGCCAAGATAAGTCCGCTGGCGCAGGTATGTTCAAACTACACTTGCTTAGGCTGAGAGGGCCTATGTCCCCCAGGGTACTGCCGGAACGTGCCCTGGGTACGGTCCGGTATACCGGAACGTACCCTGGTACTATCTAATGTGCCAGACCGTACCTCGCCTACTCCACTAACGAGTCTAGGGAGTCGCCTAAGCCTACTCCCTAACCTTAACCCTAACCCTATTAGATAGTTACCAAGGTACGTTCCTGTATACCGGACCGTACCCAGGGTACGTTCCGGCAGTACCCTGGGGGACATAGACCCTATGAGCCTTGCTTGGTTTCATTAAGACCAGTACACCGGTATATTTTGCTTCCATGTTTCTGTACCACATCTCACATGCAGGGACCAGGCGTGGATTTAGGCCGTTTGCACCGGTTTCCAGAAACCGGTCACAGCCTGGGTATCTTCAGAATTGACCATCAAAATTCACCAGAATGCACCAAATATAGCCTATTTTTTTTTTAATTCCCCGGGGGGCTCGCCCCCGGACCCCCCTAGCTGTGACTAGAACTATGGAAACTGGTCACCCAAACCCTCTGGATCCGCCCCTGGGGACATCTCAATGGCACCCTTGGAGCCACTGCAGTTCACCTGATGTTCCCTAAAGATGTACTAGTATTTACAATTCTTGAAATATACACTGTACACTTACCCATAACCTCCTATGCCATATACCAACTATTTTAGGTCGTGTTTGACTGTAATATATGGTATATTTCACATCCTACAAATAGTTGGGTTTTTAACCTACTAAACACATGTGTTCCTTTTGTCTGAAATGGTGGCGGTAAATGCGTGTTCTGCACTGGGTTTTAGTTGAATCACATACTTATTATCGCTATAAATGTTAACATGCATGCATCATCATAGGTTTTTGTTCCAGTCTTGCTGATGAGAGTGTTTGTGGGATGATGGTGATGGAGATTCCGTGTGTCTCACCACAACAGAATCAGCATTGTATTTCAGTGGGTTCTGTTACCACATGTACAAACTACATACATGCTACCATGAGCCTGCTACCTTCCTCATAGCGCCTACTTTGGCTCATAGGGTCTATGTCCCTCGGGGTACTGCTGGAACATACCCTTGGTACGGTCCGGTATACCGGAACGTACCCTGGTAACTATCTGATATGGTTAGGGTTAGGGAGTAGGCGTAGGTGACTCCCTAGACTCGTTAGTGGAGTAGGCGAGGTACGGTCCGGCATATTAGATAGTACCAGGGTACGCTCCGGTATACCGGACCGTACCCAGGGTACGTTCCGGCAGTACCCTGGGGGACATAGACCCTCTCAGCCCTACTTTGTGCTCATGTGTTGCCTCATAGCCACTGACATTAAGCCTCTCAGTTTCACTTTGCCCATTTCTGGTATTCATCGGGTATCTAATATAACCAGACATATTTTTGCCTCACCGTAGTGATTGTACTGTCATTGTGGTAATGGAACCTGCAACTATTCTTGGTTTAATAGGTAGGCACAGCCAAGCATCACTGGACCAAATGCGTGTAGCCGGTTTTGCATTTTTACATTGTTATTCATTCGCAATCGTTTTTTCCAATAGTCCGCCATCTCGAAGATAGCAAACAATAAGTACGATGCCAGGATCAGCAGAGAGAAATGCCGGAGCTTCGCCAGGTGGTACAAACAATTCATCACGAAGGAAAAATATGGTGAGCTTCACTCGATTTTCTAACCAATACTATGAGACCGCAGAGTAACGCTGATGAGTGTGACATTAGTTATGCTGAGAGGGTCTATGTCCCCCAGGGTACTGCCGGAACGTACCCTGGGTACGGTCCGGTATACCGGAACGTACCCTGGTACTATCTAATATGCCGGACCGTACCTCGCCTACTCCACTAACGAGTCTAGGGAGTCGCCTACGCCTACTCCCTAACCCTAACCCTAACCATATTAGATAGTGACCAGGGTACGTTCCGGTATACCGGACCGTACCCAGGTTACGTTCTGGCAGTACCCTGGGGGACATAGACCCTATGAGCATTAGTTACCCTAACCATTGACGTATAACCATAAGTGGAGGACACACCATGCGAATTTATTCGCACGACCGCAGCGGATTGTAAAACCGTCGCAGAATTCGCATGGTGTGTCCGCTCAAACGCGGGCGAATTTCATCCGCACCTAATTTCGAAGCGATCAAACATGTTTGATATTTTCGATGTGGATTTTTACCGCTGCGTACAGCCGTGTGGCGACAGTAGATCGCGTGTAGTGTGTCCGCTGCGGTCGTGTGAATAAATTTGCATGGTGTGTCGGCTCAATTATCGCATGCGCGTGCGAATATTTTCGCCGCGAATTTTACTGCGGATATGATCGCAGCGAAATTCGAATGGTGTGTCCCAGGCTTTAGTATTCACCAGCTAACGATGCAAATATTCGCAATGTTAGAAACCTACTTGTCACCACGTCTAGCTGTGAGACTTCGACTCCGGTTGGTCGTGGAATACAACTTGCTAGCATGGCTGTTGTGTCACTTTCACTGAGAACGTTATGACGTGCATTTTCCATGCAAACAACAAGATTGAAAACCAGAGTAACCGTCGTCACTGTTAGGGGTGTAACGATATATTAATCTATCAATATTGTACAAGGCAGCCGGCGAAATCAATTGTTTGATAGTGAAATTTGATATCGATAACAATTGGCAATAGTGCCATCAACTATTTTGATAGGTCCAATAGTTAGGATCTGCGTTATGTTGTATTTCTATCATGGCTAACTATTTATTCATTAGGTTATATCTTTAAAGTTTATCAATTTTTGATAGCAAAATTGTAATATATTTAAAGTAATCCTCACTAGTGCTTTGACTTTACTGTATCCATTTTAGTGCAATATCATTCATAACTCATCTTTTTTGTGTACAAAAGTTATCTGTACCTATAGTGTTACAATAGTATTCAGTAGGGATTGTCACTATCAAAAGTATGGATGGTACGATATCACGATACAAACCTCAACAATACATGTATCGATACTCGAACTACTTAATAACATCTATGTTATTTGATAGCGTAGTTTCATCAGAAAACATAAGAAGCATAAGACAATATGCAGTTTAATAGCAAATGTTAACTAAACATTCCGCGATACTGATTTGTAGGCATTCACGTGATTAGTATAGTATTGTTTAAGTGTGTAGCTTATTAGGTAAGTTTCTCTTGAAAGTACATGTATCGTGATACGTATCGTATCGTGAAACCTGTATCATGATGCAAATCATATCATGAGTTACCTGTGTTATGCTAACCGATAACATCACAATGGTACTGTCAGTAATGCAGATGGGGTCGTTGTCATATCAGGTACTACAGATATGTACCCGAGGTAGTTTTAGGTTGTTTAGTATTACGTTTATATTTTTATGAGGTATGTTTAGGGTTAGGGTACACTTCTGTAGTACAAGTCTGGTACACTTTGTGTATACATATATGTACCTCGGGTACATATCTGTAGTACCTGATACGACAACGACCCCTTGAGCGTCAGTAATAGCAATAATACTGCAGTACTGTACTATTTCAACACTAACATCGTGGCGTAAAGGTACCGAGTAATAAGCTGAATGAACACACATGTGGTATGTAGTACTGTAGTGCAGTGAATCTGCACCCTGCAGAGCTTTGCCCTTTCCCTTCCACTTCACACATGTATTACAATAATAGGATTCATCTAATTCGGTCTCATTTTAGCTGTCTCTAGTATCGTATAAGTGTCGGCTAGCTCAGTATTTATCTAATGATTATGTAGTCTCTTTCTTGCAATACTAGTCTTCAATCATCGATAGCACCGTAGACAATATTGCGACGGTACTTTAAGAAGCAGCAGCAGTAATGTTCCAGTACTCGTACAACCCCCATCGGTCGCTCCTTGTCGCTGTCAGTGTAGAGTTGCTGTCCCCACCCGTTTTTCACCGCCCACGTCTCACATCGTCTCACCTCGCGTGCTGACTCCCAGCGACCCGCCGCCCGCCCGCGTCTCACACCTTGTCACCTAGCGTTGCCGACCTCCAGCAACCCGCCGACCGCCCGCGTCTCACACCGTCTCACCTCGCGATTCCGTTCTGCGCAGAGCGTGTGCTGACCCCCACTGACCCGCATCTCACACCGTCTCACCTCGCATGCCGACCCCCACCGACCCGCGTCTCTCATTCGCGTTGCCGACCCCCACTGACCCGCATCTCACACCATCTCACCTCGCGTTGCCGACCCCCACCGACCCGCGTCTCACACCGTCTCACCTCGCGTGCCGACCCCCACCAACCCGCCGCCCGCCCGCGTCTCACACCTCGTTGCCGACCCCCACCGACCCGCGTCTCACACCGTCTCGTTGCCGACCCCCACCGACCCGCATCTCACACCGTCTCACCCCGTCTCACCTCGCGTTGCCGCCCGCCCGCATCTCACACCGTCTCACCTCGCGTTGCCGACCCCCACCCGCCCGCGTCTCACACCGTCTCACCTCGCATGCCGACCCCCACCGACCCGCATCTCACACCGTCTCACCCCGTCTCACCTCGCGTTGCCGCCCGCCCGCGTCTCACACCGTCTCACCTCGCATGCCGACCCCCACCGACCCGCATCTCACACCGTCTCACCTCGCGTTGCCGCCCTCCCGCGTCTCACACCGTCTCACCTCGCGTTGCCGCCCGCCCGCGTCTCACACCGTCTCATCTAGCGTTGCCCGTTCTGTGCAGAGCGTGTGCCGCCGACGACGCGGCTGGCCGCCGACAGCCGGCTGACGTTTCACCCGGAGTACGAGCTGCCGCTGATGCGCAGCTGGTACCACCGCTGGCGCAACCCGACGCTCGTGCAGCTGCAGGAGAACCTCAACGAGCTGAACAGCGGCCCGTTCAGGCAGGACCGGCCGAAGGTGACGCTGCTCAAGCTGAAGAACTGGTGGAAGAACGAGCGGCAGCGCGAGCGCAACAAGAGCGGCAAGAAGACGGACGGCAAGGGCAGCAGCAGCGAGGAGAACAACTCGATGGACGTCGAAGTCGTGAGTTTCTCATTGTCGGCGATTGCTGTGCGTGCGTGCATGAGAGTGCGTGCGTGCACGAGTCAGTGTGCGTTTCCGTGCGTGAGTGAGTACACGTGCGTGTTCGTGCGTGGATGTGTATATTTCGTTAGGCAGCAGAGCAGGCAGCCAGTCTGCGCTGTCTCAACCATCTGTGTCAAGTCCAACATGATATCCACGCTCGATGTGAGTGTGTACGATATACGTGATACGAACCCGGCCCCCCCACTCAGTGTTATTTAGGGTACGCATATGCTCGTTCCCTCCCTTTGAAAACACCCCCTATCTCAGGACTGCCAAAATTTCTGAACCCCCCTTTCGCGGGCTTTTTGCGGGTTTTTCCTGCCTTGGAGAACCCCCTAAATCCGGAACACTACGTATAGACTGGTACCCGTTCGCCACCTTCACTCCGGTACGTATCCTTCGCTACACTGACGTAGTGACGTTACTGTAGCGTGTGGAACTGTCGACCGGGTACCAGTCTACACTACGTAGTGTAGAGTTCAGTGAGCGAGGGGAACTAGGGAGCAATATTTTTATTTTTCAAAATGAAATAATCCTGAATGAGCTTTCAAAACTAGCAGGAATTTCAGGAATTTGATCCCGGGATTTGATAAAGTTTTCTATGATATTCAAGATGAAAGAGAGAGAGAGGGAAAACACCCCCTTGTTAAAGAAATCTCCGGGTGAAAAGTCAAATACACCCCCTTTTTTACAATTCTTGGGCCGGATTTTGTCGCGCGAAAAATACCCCTTTACCGGAAATTTTGGGAACGCGCATGCGGTCCTTCCGACCTCGGAGTGGGGAGGGGGGGGGCCGGGGATACGAATATAGGATACGAGTGTAGCAGACACATTCATGATACTATGCATGTCTGTACTGTGGCGATCACACGTGTAATATCTCAGATATCAGTCCCCTTTGTTTGGTAAGGAAATGATTAGCCTCATTTTAAAATACTGATGAAACAGAAAATTCAGTGGTATAATAGTTCAATTGTGCCCTTGAGCAAGGCACTTTCCCCTGATTTGCTTCAGTCAAACCTTGCTGTAAGAACGGGTTTATTTTGCCGGCGAAAGGCTCAGTTCACCCACAAAACAGTGAGTAGCTTGTGCCCCATGATTTGAGCTCATGATTAAATTGTTCAAAGTACGCAAACATTAATCGTCAGTGAATCGAGTCACGAATCGATATAGCGAGCCAACACACACACTTGCGTTGTTCATCGTAGTTTGCCGATGTGTGGCCAACGAGTTTGAGAGATCGATTGCTTAATGTGAGGTTTCTCCACTACATCTTCCAGGAGAAGCTCGAATCTCCGCACCTGGCAGCACAGGAGCAGCGGCAAGATCCGAACGTGTCCATTGAGGGCAGGAGCGGTGGCGGCCCCGGCAGAGGCGGAGGACGTGGTGGCGGCGGCGGCGGCGGCGGCGGAGGAGGTGGCGGAATGGCCGCAGATAACGATCACACGACGCTGACACCACTCATGCCTGTCATGCAGTGGCAGGACTGCTGACACATGCCTGTACCTGCGTACCACAACTTCAGTCTCATCTTCAGACCCGGTCCGTGGTCGGAAACCAGCTTCAACAATGCCCAGAGGACGTGGCCAGAAACTGGCTACGACTACGGGCCACGGAATTGGCCCACTACTAGGTACGATAATCGGCCATGATATATAGCAACATAAGCGCGCAAGCCAGCGCGTACGTGCATACAACAACAGGGGATATGTGCGGTTATATATTGAGAGTCCAGAATTCCGAAAGAGCATTACTTAGTTCAGGCCTCAGAAGTTATGGTACACAGTTACAGAAACGTAAATTGTATGGATTTGTATGAAATTGTGAGCAGCTCTAGATCTGTTTTAGACTATATAGGTTGCAGTGTGTCTAGGTTTAGAAACTAGGTTTCACATATGTATTCGAAAACGTTGAGTAGGATAAGTCACTATACAGTATTATGCCATGTTATTATTCAAACCAGTCGTTAGCTTGAATTACATAACAATGAAGAAAGGTTTATCGATACTAACTTCTGTACCTCAACCGTGTCATTTTAAAATCTGTGCATCTGTCGGCACATCGAACACGGACATATCTGTTTCATATACATTTGTGCAGATGAAGTGTGAGAGTGCGTTGCAGCTCTCCCCCTCCCTCCCTCCCTAGCCCTCTCTCTTTCTCTCTGTCTAGTTTCCTTTTCCTCATTGTTAGTCCTGGAAATTAGTTATACATAGACGTTCTAAAGGGGCTGTCTAAAATGCGTTAGAATTGGCTGATGTCATTCATCTGATCATACGCCCACATAAACTAAACTGTATAAACGAAGTCGATGTTTCCATTGTAACATCAGTATCACACTGTCTTGAGAACTGCTGGAAATTTGTTTATGAATTGCCAGTTTGAGTTCACGACTCTACATGTGATTTTGTACGACGTTATTGCAACTGTCTCCAGTAATTCAGATTCCAATTTTTTAAATAAAACAAGTAATCCCAGCAGTTGATCATCAGGTGTGGCAAAGCTATGTATCAACATAGCAAGGGGCATTATTATGGTGTCTGGTACTAACGGTTGATCCGTCTAGTATGTTCTTCGTGCTGTAATTAACATGCTGCGTAGAATCATGTCATACTATACTACGCTTTTATTTTTGCCTTTGTTTATAATTCATATATAATATTCAATGGATAACGTGCAAGCATGAATTGTGCATACTTATTTGCCTTGCTGGCATAGTATGTAAAAGCTTCATTCTCTGTTTATGTGTTTGTATAAAATGCTGCCTACTGTACACGTTATATATTCTATAGTATGTATAATTATATATTATATAGTATATATAAGATGCTGTTGCTGCAGCAGTTTTATATTCGTAATTGTATCATCGATGACTTAATTTAATAAACTTTCATATCATGTTCAGCAAACTTAACTTATGAAACTCTGAAGAAAGTACTTCTCGTACAGTAATATCTAAGCGTGATGAATTGCTTTGCTGCTAAACATGTGGCAGACCTGCGATATACAATTATGTGCATATATACATATATTTGCGCATTTACATGGCATTAGAAAAGGTATAGACATGGATCTTACACAGTTATTATGCAGAATAAATCTAGGTTAAAAACAATGAACTTGTAAGCATTGACTGCATGAGTGGTTATGTGTATTTGTTTCATGTGAGATTATTTTTTTCACTCCTGTTTTAATTATTTCTACATCTATAAAAATTACGTGATTACCACTGAGCATGTTGAGAGATCACGTGTAGATAGTTTGATGTTGCGATAACACGTCGTGATTATAGGTTGACAAGTTTGTGGCAAAAGAATACACAATCAAAATACTTGTGTCACTTAATGTTATTGGCTGGTGTATGCAAGTCTTTTACGTCCATCCTGTTTTGGTGATTGAATAGAATAGAGTATATGCATGAACTCATAAATTATGGCAGAATATGTTTCACGTGAACTTTTTAATTCAATCTCACCATTTTTATAACCAGTATAAGTTTATGCTGATGTTGAAGCAACAGATGTGAGCATTTTTACTGGCACACAGTTGATGTCTTACACAACTATTAGTTATAAAACCACAGATATCACAGTAAATGTTACTCCCAACAGAAATACTCTCACGTTATAATTCCAATATACATTTGTATCTACACATGTTATAGGTGCCACATACAGTCGAGTGCTATCAGCGATCGTCATGGCTGCTCTACACTCGCAGAAATTTTGCAAGATGAATAATTTGACCTACACAATTATAGTTCAAAGCTCTGTGATTGCACACATTTATTGTTAATTAACAAGTTGACATTTCGACCCACACGTTGTTACACATCTTGACCCACAAGTTTATGGTCTCTGCGCTATAAGCAACCTAACCTGGTATCGCAGTCTACAGGAGATCGTAAAAGTAATCTAGACCTTGCCCGATCTCCCATATGGACAAACCAGTGCCAAGTGAATTTATCAGCTCAATCCTCTGCTGTACGGAGAATAGCGTTGGGTAAAAGACCAAGTGCTCGCCCGAACCTTCAGAACTGCAAGCAATCACAAACCACGCCTATATTAGTCACGGCTTCTAAATGGTTGAGAAATTGCTACGCTGCATGCGTACTGCCGAGTTACCCATAAACACCTGACAAACTGCATACCTACATATTGGCCCTACGAATCAAATGATGTTCACGGAATTGAATGTCACTAAAAATATATAACCTGGGGCAAATTCACAGATTCTCCAAGCAATTAAAGGAGCCCATTGAGAGTTCTAAGTAACTAAGTAACTAAGTAACTAAGTAACTAAGTAACTAAGTAACTGGCCTGGGTTTGATCGTGTAATGAAATCACTCCAGTGCAAAAGCGTAGCACTTCTTATCTGGTGTCAAGTATATATCACGCCAACATATTCTGAACAAAACTAATAAAACTGGGTTCATTTAAAACAGAGATTGAATTAAATTCGCCAGAAAATTGCTAGATGGTGTAGGGGTCAAAGAGTAGGATCAAAGAGATTACCAAGCTCTCTTTTTCTCATGCCTAATGCACCTGCTGCAAGTAAAGCTTACCGATATCTGAAATAGTGTTCAGCCGAGGCCTCCTCCCATTCTAGTTTCGGCTTGTATTTGTGCAGAATTTCGATGTATCTGTGCAACAAAACATGGAACATGTTTAGTTCAAAACAGTAGGGCATCGGGTCCGACTATCAGCCCCATTCACAATCCAAATGGAGGTTTAAAATTAAAAATTTGGAAGCAGGTATTAATCTTATTTTCACAGTTGAGCTGTATATTTGTCACAATGGACACAATTTTTCATAAAACGTCTTGTTTAGTAATTTCACAAAAAAATGATAATTTAAAACTGTTTTTATATTCCATTCATAGTAAGACTACCTCAATGTAAAATGCAAATCAAGGGTTTATCATTTTAAAAGAAGGCATTTTCTATATCACCTCTGCATATCATCCTGCCCCAAATTTGAAAACTAGTTTCTCAGAAAATAAATGATCAGTTACTAGACACAATTACCTAATAAAAGAACATACATGTAAACAGTAGGATATCAATCTACAGGCAATTGCAGATGGTGTAATAACATAATGAGTGATGTCGGTTTGATTATCACTCTATAACCCCTTGTGAATTGCACTTCTATAATTCACCTGTTGCCGATTATGGCTTCTCCTTGACTGGAAGAGTAATCATTCCCATAAAAGTTGAGCCCTAATAAGATTTTTCTCCTCCAGGGAGATTCTGCATCAGGGCACAATGACTGCACACACTGACTTGCCCAATACAATGGACTGTTTGGTCCAGGCCTGGAAAATGAAATGACAGGGCTAATGAATCGATGCCAAAGTTTACTAGTTAAACAGAAACCTAGCAAGACAATTGCAATTATATAATTATACCCTAACCTCCCTTTATCAGAGGTCCCAAGTTGGGAAAATCCAAGAAAGGGATCACTTGTGATAATGGTCCATCGCCGTTTTTTCGTGGTGCGCAAAAACAGGGAAAAAGTTGTGGCGGGCTGCGACATGTGTTTGTCGCGGTGCATCACCATTTTTTATAAAGTATATACATGTAAAATAAAATGCAAATTTATTGTGAAAACAAACGTGTTTGATTCCAGCGAACAATAAAGGGCCACAAATATCAAAGTACATCAACAACCACGGCAAATTTAGTAATTTACTGATGTAAATTTAAATATGGCTGAAAAATGTGACGACTGGGACTTTCGCTTAGAACCACCTTAGCTTTGAAAGTAAATACAGAAATGACCTTTAACCCACACGTATTTATAAGTCATCCTTAGTGAGTGGTAATTAAATCTGACGCAATTGACCTATCACTTACTTGCCGGGATGTGAATAGTCATATGTCATAAGGCTAAAAGCATCCATGTGTGGGGCAAGTCTATCAAAGTCTGCCTTTACAAACATGCCTTTCCTACCACTAGAAAAAAAAGAGTTAAAACCTGTTTAGCTTATTATCAAGAGCGTATAAAGAAGGAGAGTGTACAACGGTGAAATGCTGAAACCATGTTGCAGTATTAGTCGAATTAATAAACTTTGCCCGTTTTATTTTGACGATTCTTTGCGGTATTATTGATCAGCTGTCCTACCTTGCTAATATAAAACAAACTGCTTGTCACTACGATGCCCCTACGCTGAGATAATGATCGGTGAAAATCCGGTATTTTTGCCGAAAACCGACTTGAGATCCCTGTTTGCTGCGACCCTCTCTCGCTTTGTGACCAGTGTGTTGCTTCCGGTCGCCGCTGTGTAGCGCCATGGTAGCGCTGACTCATTACGTCAGTACTAAAGAGTTTACTACATCCAGCGTGAGGTGGGCACAGGTGGGGGTCATCACTATGGCAATCAATAACAGATGTCATTAATTCCATTTGTCAATCATTGAGGGAAACACGCGAGGTTTCCCGAAGTTATCTCAAAGCGAGAGACAGTCGCAGTCAGCAGGTATCTCGAGTCGGTTTTCGGCGAAAATACCATATTTTCCCAGCTCATTATCTCAGCGTAGGGGCATCGTAGGGACATGCGGTTTGTTTTATAAAAAGGTAAGACAGCTGATCAATAATACTGCAAAGAATCGTCAAAATAAAACGGGGGAAGTTTATTAATTCGACTAATACTGCAACATGGTTTCAGCATTGCAGCATGGTTTCAGCATTTCACCGTTGTACGCTCTCCTTCTTAATACGCTCGTTATTATATATATACAAAATATGCTTCTAATGAAAAATTCATTACCTGAAAGGGTCACAATATATAATTATATATGACACTATGACTAAGATTGAATATTACACTTTGCAAATAAATATATGATGAGAAAGCAGTAAATTTATTTTACCTGGGGATTCACATCATTTACAGATAACTCTACACATCTACTTACTTGAACATGTGAACGAGTGAGACAGGCATGACATATAACTAGATTTACCCCTGATAGGTAGCAGGTGGTATGACAAGGATGATTTCCATATCTTCATTATGAAGTGCTTCAGCCATATGTACCAGAACATCAGATATTTCACTGAAATATACATTCAAATATAAGTTTACAGATTGACTGTCTGTGATACCACAAACAACTGATACTACAGACATTGTGTTTATATTTGGTCTTGGTACATATATTCAGTGCCCAAATTAAAAAAATGTCTTTAATTGATCATAATAATTAATAAAGTAATCATGTTATAAGTGTAACCTATTATCACTATTACCCATTTTTGTACAATTTATATAACAACATACCTTTTATAATTTCCTCCAAGCTGGCTCCAAACTTCAATAACTACGCCATCAAAGTTATGCTTCTAAAATGGATATAAATACATTATTAGATGAGCTACGATGGTATATTTAAACACTAAAACTAATAACATTTTTCATTGACTGTGAGAAGTAATGTTATGATATATAACAATCAAATTAAACACTATAAGATAATACTATGAGGCTAACAGATTTAAAGCTAGATTTATCTATTACTTTGAGTAACTTGATGAGTGTATCCACCATTTTTGCCTGAATTCCTGGATCAGCAAATACAGCCTGATAGTCAGGTAGGCTCCAACCATCGAACAAAACTCTAGGAACTGCAATCATGAATAAAAAAAGGTTTTATACATCTCAATGCATAACACTGAATACTATGGGGCTATGCTTTACTAAACCAGGTAAACACACTCAATATCTACTAATATCCTAAACCTATGTACATACTACTGCCTGATTTTATCTGTTTGTCCAATTGAATACATTTTCCCAAATTGTACACTATTTTCCTATTAGATATCTATTATTGATAAGTATATGATCCAACCAATATGAGATTTTTTGAGGTTTTTTGGAAGTTATATTTACCAATGTATGTTTTCCTGGATTTCTTGACATCTGCCATCCATCCTGTATATACATACATACAGAGGAAATATTGTATTGGTGAAAAAATCACACACCACTCAGCTAATGTAACAATTAAAGAGGTACACCAGCCTAGAATAATTTACTAAAACGAAATGTTCTCAGTCTGTTGTGTGCAACTGAAAACTAGATTCGCATATAACTTTATCAGAGAAGCACAAATAGTGGCACCATTGGCGTTTTAAGCAAATTATCATCGACAGCTTTTAAAACAAGTGTAAATTTGCACTGTGATTGTCTGAAAATGCTATACAAATTTATCCAATTGCTATGCAAAATTTATTTTGTATCGCACATTTGCTATGCAAATTTTTGGCTGGAAATTGTTCCCTGAAGAAGAAGGTCGAGGAGGAGGGTAGAAGGTGGTGAGGGAGGGGATCTATGGTCTCTTGCAGAAACTCTACTACGGTATAGTGCGTATAACGCGTCTACAATATAATTATATCCGTTTACATTTTGTAATTTTGTTTTATTATACTTTTAATGTGGGGTTCTTTGGTGAGAAATTGTTATTTGTGTAAGCCTATAAATATGCATGCTCTCGAACTTATTTTTCTATTCTTATGCAATATAGTTGTGCAGTATTGAAGTAAAAAGTACAGTTAAAAATTTTGGTTGATTTTAGACTAAATGTTGGATTCTTTTTTCATGTAATAAAATGACTTTGTACACAAGTATATCGTACGTCTTATACTGATTATAATAAATATGCACAAAAATGATTTTGTAACCCATGTACACCCAAGATATCATACGTTTAATTGAGATAGAGGAGGACGGAGAGAAGTGGATCAATTCGATAGATCCACACTGCGGATCGCAGTGGAAAAGATTGAAAATTTGCAATTTACCAAAGAGGAAGGCAGGGAATTCCAATACGGAATAACAGAAACAAAGAAGCTAAACTTAAAAGGATCCTTAGAAGATAGCACGTACCGAAAACAGTGATCACGCTCAGATGATCGAGTGCAGCGAATAGGCTTCATTAAGCAAGAGGGAATTCCATTTTTCATCTTACCATGATAAATTTTATAGAAAGTTATAAGTTTAGAATGAAGAAAGCGGACACGAAGAGGAAGCCAATTAAGTCGAGCCAAAACAACATCAACATTCTCATCATAGTTTCTGGATACCCATCTCGCAGCTTTATGCTGAATGGCATTCAATTTAGAGCAGTTCTGAAGTGTATAGGGGCACCAGCCTGGCGAAGCATATTCTAATATGGGAAGAACCATAGTTTTATAAGCCAGGGACCGAGTTTTAAAATCGGCAAAGCCAAGATTACGTCGTAACATATATCAAAAGATCGAGAAATACATATCATACTTTTACAATAAATTCTGAATTAATAAATATCGAGACATATACATATCATACTTTTACAATAAATTCTGAATTAATAAATATCGAGACATATACATATCATACTTTTACAATAAATTCTGAATTAATGAAATTGGATAACTACCAAGGATATGTACACAAAAAGCATGTCTAACACACTTATTTACATTGTGGTCCTTGTTTTGCTATGCAAGTGATAAATTTTCTGAGTGATACAGTACAGAACAGTGCATATATATACATTAAGAAAAAATAGATAGGATATATATAATATAGAGAGAAATATAGGCTATACGAAAGTATCTAAATATGTATTATTATACTGTTGTAATTAATATTGGAAATATATCAGTTAAAAATTGGTTAATTAGGTAGCCTATTTGTCTTCTAACCCTAGCAAGACCGTTTCTTGGAGCTAGGTCTATCATCGAGTTTAGTCTTAGTCTTATCCTTAGTCTCGTCTAAGCGAGTTAATACGTGCATGAGTTAGACACGCTCAAAACACGAAATTAAACATTTGCTTGCCTTAGTAATTACCTATGCCATGGCTATGATTTATTAATAATAATATTACGCGCAACTCAATAAAATAAATCTAAGCGAGCTAGATACACTGATTGCCTTAGTTTACTTATGCCATGGCAATTATTTATTAATATTACGTGCAACTAGTGATGGGAATCGGCTGGAATTTCATAATCGATTATTGGTTTCCCTTAACCGATCGATAATCGATTATAATCGGATAATCGGTTAATAATAGCATAGATTTAATTTAATCTTACTTTGTATATACAATTATACATAGCATTCAATATTATCATGTTTTATGATCATATAACTCTGTGAAGGTTGAGCTGTATGTATATCAATGTCTGTTCCTATACAGTATTTAATCAATTTAAAATTGCTTTCTCGCGCTGATGGCAAATTTATTGTTGAAAACAAACGTGTTTCGATTCAGCGAACATATAAAGGGCCACAAATATTCAAAGTTACATCAAACAACCACTGGCCAAGATCTTTATGTAATCTTACTTTGATGTAAATCTTAATATGGTCTGATAAAATTACGACTGGGACTTTCGCTTAGAACCACCTTAGCTTTAAAGTAAATACAGAAATGGACCTTTAACCCACACGTATTTATAAGTCATCCTTTAGTGAGTGGTAATTTAAATCTGACGCAATTGACCTATCACTTACTTGCCGGGATGTGAATAGTCATGTGTCATAAGGCTAAAAGCATCCATGTGTGGTGGCAAGTCTATCAAAGTCTGCCTTTACAAACATGCCTTTCCTACCACTAGAAAAAAAATAGAGTTAAAACCTGTTTAGCTTATTATTCAAGAGCGTATAAAGAAGGAGAGTGTACAACGGTGAAATGCTGAAACCATGTTGCAGTATTAGTCGAATTAATAAACTTTGCCCGTTTTATTTTGACGATTCTTTGCGGGTATTATTGATCAGCTGTCCTACCTTGCTAATATAAAACAAACTGCTTGTCCTACGATTGCCCTACCGTGAGATAATGATCGGTGAAAATCCGTGTATTTTGCCCGAAAACCGACTGAGATCCCTGTTTGCTGCGACCCTCTCTCGGCTTTGTGACCAGTGTTGTTGCTTCCGGTCGCCGCTGTGTAGCCGCCATGGTAGCGCGTGACTCATTACGTCAGTACTAAAGAGTTTACTACATCAGCGTGAGGTGGGCACAGGTGGGGCGTGCATCACTTATCGGCAATCAATAACATCGATGTCATTAATTCCATTTGTCAATCATTGATGGGAAACACGCGAGGTTTCCCGAAGTTATCTCAAAGCGAGAGACAGTCGCAGTCAGCAGGTATCTCGAGTCGGTTTTCGGCGAAAATACCATATCTTTCCCAGCTCATTATCTCAGCGAAGGGGCATCGTTAGGGACATGCGGTTGTTTTATAAAAACGTAAGACATGCTGATCAATAATACTGCATATGAATCGTCAATAATAAAACGGGGGGAAGTTTATTAATTCGACTAATACTGCAGCATCGTTTCAGCATTATTCACGTTGTACGCTCTCCTTCTTACTACGCTCGTTTTATATATATACAAAATATGCTCTCTAATGAAAAATTCATTACTGAAAGGTCACAATTATATTATTATATATGACACTATGACTAAGATTGAATATTACACTTTGCAAATAAATATATTTGATGAGAAAGCAGTAAATTTATTTTTACCTGGGCGATTCCATTCATTTACAGATAACTCTACACAATCTACTTACTTGAAACATGCTGAACGAGTGAGACAGGCATGACATATAACTAGAATTTACCCCTGATAGGTAGCAGGTGGTATGACAAAGGGTGATGATTTCCATATCTTCATTATGAAGTGCTTCAGCCATATGTACCAGAACATCAGATATTTCACTGAAATAATACATTCAAATATAAGTTTACAGATTGACTGTCTGTGATACCACAAACAACTGATTATCAGACATTTGTGTTTATATTTGGTCTTGGTACATATATTCAGTGCCCAAATTAAAAAAATGTCTTTAATTGATCATAATAATTAATAAAGTAATCATGTTATTAAGTGTAACCTATTATCACTATTTACCCATTTTTGTACAATTTATTTATACAACATACCTTTTATAATTTCCTCCAAGCTTGGCTCCAAACTTCAATAACTTACGCATCAAAGTTATGCTTCTAAAATGGATATAAATACATTTATTAGATGAGCTACGATGGTAATATTTAAACACATAAAACTAATAACATTTTCATTGACTGTGAGAAGTAATGTTATGATATATAACAATCAAATTAAACACTATAAGATAATACTATGAGGCTAACACATGATTTATAAGCTTAGATTTATCTATTATTTGCGTAACTTTGATGAAGTGTATCCACCATTTTTTGCCTGAATCCTGGATCAGCAAATACAGCCTGATAGTCAGGTTAGGCTCCAACCATCGAACAAAAACTCTAGGAACTGCAATCATGAATAAAAAAAGGTTTTATACATCTTCAATGCCATGTAAACACCTGAATACTATGGGGGCTATGCTTTACTAAACCAGTGAAACACACTATATATCTACTAATATCCTAAACCTATGTACATACTACTGCCTGATTTTATCTGTTTGTCCAATTGAATACATTTTCCCAAATTGTACACTATTTTCCTTATTAGAATATCTATTATTTGATAAGTATATGATCCAACCAATATGAGATTTTTTTGAGGTTTTTGAAGTTATATTTACCACATGTATGTTTTCCTGGATTTCTTGACCATCTGCCCATCCATCCTGTAATATACATACATACAGAAGGAAATATTGTATTGGTGAAAAAATCACACACCACTCAGCTAATGTAACAATTAAAGAGGTACACAGCTAGAATAATTTACTAAAACGAAATGTTCTCAGTCTGTTGTGTGCAACT